CATGTCCAGTCTAAGGCATGTGCTCGGCTACTTTTGACTGTTGGGCCCAGCCTCCTTTACAAGCATTTTTGTGTTACCGTAGTCTTTGTCAAATTGGCCTGCATGTCTCACCATCATAAGGTCGACCACAGGAGCACACAATTTGATAGCAGCCGAATCTCGATAATGGGTTATATTTCTCTCTAAAAGATGTTATAACCGAAGTAAGTGTGAGGGATTCTCTGAGCACAGTTTTAATCCCCCCCTTTGTCACCAGTTCATCTATTATGCTAGAAAGAAGGCATGACGGTAAAATTAGGACATGTGAAAAGGTCTCCATTTGGGGTTTGAAAGATACCGTAATAGATTTATTTTGGAACACTTTTCATTTCTTTTGAAGAGGCCAATGAAAAAAATTGTAAATTTGTCTCACCTGTAGCTGTAGAAGAATTGCCTTAGAACTGTGATTGTAACTTCTTGCGAATATGTCCTCGGCTCACAACTCCACAATCACAACTCCAAGGCACTCCTCCTACAACTGCCGGTGATACCAACTTACGATTCCCTTCCACTCGCCCCTTAAAACGAGATGAAATGTACTCTAACAAGGTTTCAGTTTGTCTATTTTTTACGAGATAGTCTCTGTTTTGAAATTTATTCCCTAATAAAGAGATACTCTTATCAGCTAAGCGTAAAGGATGATTATGTTCAAGGAATAAATGTTTCATTCGTTCCAACTCTTTAGTCAGATGGTTACTATCCGCTGGTCTCATACCCATAATAAGCATTGACTAAAGTTTATGGCCTCGAAACGTCAACTAATACGCCAGACTGCCCCAAGTGTCCTTGGATCACAGGGCAAAAGTGAAGCTCAAAACGAAACTATGCATTTTAGTCGATTGCTATAGAAAATAAAACTTTGCCTCGTCAACAATTCAAGCACAGAAATGTGGTATGGGAAAGGTCTGGCCTTCATTGAAATTTACTTCTACCTACTGATCCAATGAAAAAACATGACAGTGTGGCATAGAGGCTATCATGCCAAGACTGCACGCTGCACTACAACAGACACCGTTTGAATCCAGGTGGAGTTACTGATGATGCGCAGGCTAGATCGAAACCACAGTCCAGTCCGGTCTGGATGAAAATATCTTCTAGGAAGCAGGGCTATGTGAAATATGAGGCCAACTCATTTCATCGTAGGATAATCCGACTAACAATTATTATTCGTATTTGAGTAGAGTTTCGAGACTACGAGTAAATTAGTAATATGAGAGGTATTTACCGT